GGCGATTACTTGGCCGAACGACCTTGAGCATTAGAGCGAGACAACGCGCCTCCCGCTGCGCGCCCGCGCTTCTGCCCGATATCAAAGAGCGCTCAGAATACAGATGCGACGCGCTGCGAATTCTGATATAACTGCTTACCGGAATGTTGACTGGATTTTAATTTACACAGATCTAAAAAATTGCGATGCTTATTTTATGTTTCAAAACAGAATTAAAAAAAGAATATAAATCACATACAGAATAATATTAATTATCGTCAGAATATTTTCAAACTGAAACAAAATTGACAATAATGATTATATTTCAATTATTACATCATTTTACTTCAATTAGTACCATAACTATGAAAAATAAACAGTTATTTCCTCCTGTAAAGTTTGCACAAAAGGACATAAGCAGTTTGATAATTAGGCTGACGATATTCGTGTGTCAAGTGAGCTTCTAAACAGTTTTTATGTGTGTGTACGAGTACCTACCTAAATTTAAATGTCTGTCTGTGCAAGTATTCAAAATATTGGTCAATATTGAATAAAATATTATTGATCATTGAATACAATTTAAGACTACTTTCTGTGTTATCTTTATCACTGTACCATATTTCAAAAAATAAATCATTTGAATTTGAATGAAAAAACAAATTCAAAATTTGTTATTGTTTTTTGTATCATCGAGGCATCGCACAGCAACATTTCGAACCACGTTAGATTTGCAGTGTATTGATGTTGAAACGATCTGCCCCCGCCGTTGTGTGTTTTGAAAGTAAAACACTAGAATACATGGAATACATATTTGGCTATTATGATCCTGATATACGAAATATAAGATTTTAAATTTTCGCGTTCCATTTCAAGTAAACAATACAGTAAGTAATAGATAAACACGGATCTCAACGCGACATTTTTATATTATGAGTTAAATGTCAAGTACGAATACTGTGTTGTGTGTCGAGGTAACGCCACTACAATGTAACATTATGAAAATATAAGGGTAGTTTAAAATATTTAAGTCTACCCGGACGGACGATTCCGCCAGCCGCCAGTCTGCTTGTGATCACGGCTGCATTATAGGCAGCCGAAACATCAAGCCGCCTACAAAAAGCTCTTTTTTTGCTATTTTTAGGTCAAATTTCGGAAAAAAATAAATCAAAAATATAAATAAAAAAAGTAGCTCATTTAGGGTCAAATGGGCGAACTTGTATTCAAAATGACCTTATTTACGAAGTTTGTTTAACGTTCTTCCAAACACCTGTACATTTTATAATATTATTATCAGGGATCGAAATAGGTGGTATCAATTTACCTAACCTTATTCGCGCGCGACGAGACAATTGAGCTGGATGAATCGAAAATTTCCTGGGCAATGAGATAAAAAAACTCATACCAACCAAAACCAATGGACCAACGGAGTACCTTGTAAATTACCAATCGAAACGCAAAATGCACAAAAGTGATGTGATTGTTTCCAAGAAATTAATAAAATACGTTTCTGCTAATTATAGAATTTAAATAATCCTTTGTATGTCTTTTTTGTTGTCTTGTGATTTCCTATACCTAAGTGCGTTGTTTTTATTATTATTACTTAAAGATAAAGATAAAGATAAAGATACATTTATTTGTTCAAACATGTGTACATAAGGTGTTAAGTCAGCATTTAAAATGGTATCAACATGTCGTACCTTTGCGGTGTACAAATTAAATTAAAAATAAAATATCAATTACAATAGGTAATACTGCATAATCAAATCAAATTAAAGTTAAAGTCAATGTTGCATAATCAGATTAAATGGAAAAAAAATATATTAAGAAGTAAATCAAAATTTGTCACTTAGGAAGTCCGTCAGATTATAATAACATTTTTCAATTAATAAATTTTTAACCTTCATTTTAAATTCATACAATTCTAATTTTTTTATTGTTAAGGGGATGTTATTGTAAATTCTAGGTGCCATACATAATATACTTTTACTCATAAGAGCCGAATTTGAGGGGGGCATCCGTAGTCTTGAGTAGTCGCGTCGGTTGCGACTGACAACATCCTCTAAACGAATAAAAAGTGACGGATTGGCCTTAACAAACAGTACTATCTCTAAAATATATATTGACGGAAATGTTAAAATTTTATGTTTTTTGAAAACTGGCTTACAACTATCAGCCGCTTTCATTCCAAACATTGCTCGTATACAACGTCCTGTCTCCAGACATGCACTCACCCATGAGGTGCACGAGGTCGATGAGGCGGAAGAACAAGCGGCGCTGCAGCTCGTCGGCCGGCGCCTCCACGCGGCACGCCGCCCAGTCGTCGCGCACGATGCTCGCGCACCACACCTGCACACACAAATGATATAGAACACACTTATCGGTGAGGGTGAGTGACAGAAATATTTTTATTTCTTTACATTTAAGAGTAGGCGCACACCGTTGATTTTTCGTCGGCCGATAGTTTAGTCGGGCTGTTGATCAGTATGGGTATGTATGGGAGTGCGCACACTACGCCGATTCGATTTGGCCGATTCTTCATACAAATTAAAATCGGGCACAACTATCGGCCAACTAAAAATCAACGGTGTGCGCCTACTCTAAGAGGGAACAGTATAGCCCGCAGAATTACGGAGGAACGGAATAGCTCATAGATATGATGGCCGTTGGGGCAGAAAGTTCTCGAGCCGGAAGACTTAGTGTGGACAGGCCTCCCACTAGGTAGACCAACGATCTGGCAAAGGTCGCAGGAAGAACCTGGATGCAGGCTGCGCAGGAAAGGTCGTTGTGGATATCCTTGGGGGAGACCTTTGTCCAGCAGTGGACGTCATTTGGCTGAAACGAACGAGAGAACAATAAGTGTAAACATAAGTCGACACCAGACGCATAGGCTCGCGAGGCACACTTGTCGTCTTGCTTACTCTGCTCTTGTATGAGCAGAATGTCGACCGTTCCTCGCGATCCCATCCACCCGGTGTGGACGTCAACTCAATGAGTGTTTGTGTTTGCTTCCAGGGCCGAGGACTTGAAGTATTTGGCAACAATAGAGCTGGTTGTACACCAAGAACTAAGCATGATTGGTTCCCATGATCGGTAGATTACCTTCATGCGCAGATCGTCGCGCCTCTCGATATCGGGTACGTAGTCGGTAAGATCCAATGCCTTCTTGTAGTCGTACTCTGTCAGGTTCTGGCCCTCTGCGTCGATGTACATCTATGAACAGACAATATAAAATTACTAGATTTGCAAATGAGATAACCGTATCGTATATAAAAGATCAACCTCTCTAGACAAAATGCACTTTTTGATCAAATCGAAAATAGAATCCGTCAAAACACCATACAATAAAATGGCTTTTAGACTGGTTTGCGATTATAAGTGCCACTTTGACGTTCATAAGTGCCACTTGTGGTCTAAACTGAATAAATATTTTTGGTTTTGATTATAATTTGCACTTTGTTTAGACCCACAGTGTGCTTACCATGAGTTTACGTTAGGTGTGCTCGCTAGCGACTGCGTACAAAAATATATTCAATGTATGACAAATTGTACAGCGCCCCTAGCGGCTACTTTCATGAACTAAAATCTTCATAGATTTTTTGACAAACTCGCTAGCGAGCACACCCGACGTAAACTTATAGTAAGCACACAGGATATTTTTCGAGAGAATTTCTGGAGTATCAAATGCTTCATAATTATGTTTTGTTGTGACGTAGACGTGAGCTGGAAGACGTAGCGTGGGCAGGCCTCCCACTAGGTGGACCGACGATCTGGTGAAGGTCGCGGGAGGTACCTGGATGCGAGCGGCGCAGGACCGGTCTTTGTGGAAATCCTTGGGGGAGGCCTTTGTCCAGCAGTGGACGTCTTTCGGCTGAAACGAACGAACGAACGTGACGTAGATATTTCACCTGGATCATCTCCTCAGGCGGTATAACTTTGGTGTCTTCCGCGTCCAGGCCATAATGCAGGCGGATGTCCCGCGGCAGCGCGGCGTGCTGGTCGCTGAGCGCCAGGCACGTCTCCACCTTGCGCCGCGTCTCGGCGGGCTGATTCTCCGGCTCGTCGGATGCCAGGATACACAGCTTGGCTAGGGATGCCATGGTCTGGAAGAAAGAGAGCATATTTTTGAATAATTGTCATCATCAGCCTAGAACAGTTCACTATTAGACATAGATCATCTTCATCAGCTTAGAGCACTGTTGGACGTAGAATCGATTTTTTATTTTTTGACTGGTTGCAACCAGCTTCTACTAGCAACACCAGGAAAACCGGGACACACGCTTTAAAAACGACAATATTGTGCTCTACGTTTGGGCGCCTGCTCTGCATTTCTTGTGTAGGTAGGGTGTTTTCTACTACCTTAAATTATAACCTCAGCACCGAAAACAGAAATGGCGGAAGCTTGTAACCAAGCAGCAAGCTCTGTATGTCTGTATGACCTTCTAGATTTAGACCTTCACTCATAACAACTTTTCATTTTTTGGATCAAAGCTAGACTCCATAATAGTAACTTCTCTGCTTGTGATCACACTATCTGAACCAGAATGGGAAATTCTGTAACCCTCGAAATTATGAGCTAACTAGTAACCCATATACTTACAGTCATCCTATTAACCGAGTCCTGCTCCTCGCCAGCCAGCTGCGCGAGCGCGGGCGCTGCAGCGCTGTAGTCCCGCGCCGTCAGCCGCTGCAGCGCTAATAGATGAGCTCTGGTGGGCGAGGCCTGCAGCCACGCCGTCAGCTTGGAAGCTACGTTGGGCCGCTCGCAGCGCACCAGGGCGGAGACCAGAGGCCCGCCGCCGTCCACGATCTGAGCGAATGCCAGCTCGGCCACGCCCTGCAAGGATTGAGACGCTAATGAATTGTTCGAAAGGTAATTACGTTATTGGTTGTTTCTCAATGACAGTTATTCACGCTCACTAGTTGACGCAAATGCGACAGTTCACCAAATGGCGCCAATGACTTCACCACTAACAAGTGACAGTGATTTTACTATACAGTAGCGCCATCTAGTTGTTGAACTATGTATTTCATTGTAATGAGTTGTCGTTACACTGAAAGTTTGAGACAGCAAAATTATTGTCACGCTTATTCCTCATCATCAACAGCCCTTTACAATGCAATGCTGGACTATGAGCGGGTTGGAGCAGTTTAAAAGACTGATGTTTTTCAGAGAGCGCTGCTGCCCGTTCTTTGTTTGATGTGTAGTCCCTAAGTCGCCTCTTTCGACACCCGCGGTAAAAGTAGGGGTTGGTGACAAATGTATTCTACTCTGCCGTCACTACACGGCTTATTCATCACCCTTGCTCAATATTACATTCACGTTTCCCATTTCAGATTACATGGCGTACAGAAGAGTCACGAACACCAACCTCATTAGGATACTTGTCGACGTACGCGTAGAGGCGCGGCAGGTCGGCGGCGCGCACGCACAGCTCCACCAGCAGCTCCCACTCGCGGAACTTCTCCGCCAGCACCGCCGCGCGCTCCGTCAGCCCCTCCTCCACTGCACAAGTCATCGTGAACTTCAGTCGTATAGTATTGATAGTGCCATCCACGTAAACGCGCCCCACCAATCGTCCTAATCGTTTATAGTTTACTAGGTTTTTTCCCGCGGCTTCACCCGCGTGAAATTTAGTTTGTCACAGATCGTCATAAATAATAGCCTATAAGTTATTCTGGATATATGATTCTCAGTAGTTTTTTCGTGAAAGAGTAACAAACATATTGACATCCAGACATACTTTTGCATTTATAATATTTGTAGGATGTATGCATGTTTCCGCTAATGTTTGAGCGGTAACGGTACACCCTAATTATCCATAAGTCCACACGCACACTACAATAATTGAATTTCGCGACTGACGCTCAGATCATACTCCCCGCACACTGCGCTTCCCTTGACCAAAAATTGGCGGGGCGCATCTTAATGGATGGCCAGTAGGACCTTTTCGAGACACTTTAACGTCACAAATATAGTTTGATAGAGATGGTAGGACCCCACACCTCTGTCGGCTAGCGATAAGAAGTGGACGAAAACCTTAAGTCACCTTTATCAGCCTTGATCTCCAGCCGGCTCATCCTCGTCATTTATCAGGATATAGTATTTTACGTTCTGTGGATACTTTATTAAACTCTAATGGCGTCAATTTATTCATACCCCACTTCCTGATCAGAAAATAGTGTTAAGTTCTGTGGATGCTTTATTAAATGATAACGGCGTCAATTTATTCATACCCCCACTTCCTGACCTGAACGCTGTCATGTGATTTCTTTTTGTACTATTTAGTCCTTTTATTGTAGAGCCCAAAGTAGTAATTTGAATTCCTTAACAATGTAAGTACGAGTATGATGATAAATAGATATTTGAAACTATTTGATATTTAGGCTTAGTTGCACCACAGAATAATAATAAGTACTACGTACAGAAGTTTTACTTCGCGAAGGTATTTAAAAAAAATTATGCTCAATGTCATTAACAATATGGTGTAATTTAGCCTGTCTCAAGAGTCAAGCACCATTTTGTTGACAAACGTCAGTGATCGGCACTGCGCCGAAGCTATAGGGCTGACTTCGGTAAAATGATGTGACGTGTGGTGCCAAACTGCGGAAAATGGCGGAGGAAATACATGATTTAGCATGAATTATCATGAATAATATTAACTACTTATTTACCTCTCAGTGTCTTGAGGCAACTTAAAAAAGTACATTTTGTGTTTTTATTATTATTTAGGCAGTTAAATACTGCACAGTATTTAGTACACCATTTTCTTCTTCTATTTACAAGAATACGCGTGCGTGAGTCAATGTTCGCTCGTATGTGAGGCCTTGTCGAATAGTATCCATCGTGCGTGTTTTGTTTTCGATGTAAACTCGCGGAGATGAACAGGCCTGGTTGCACCACCTATTTTAACCGTGAGTAAAACCATAACCGGTGTTTTCTGTATAGAGTTAAACAGACTTTTGACGTTTGTTAAAGTTATAGTAAGGTGGTGCAACCACATATTTTTGTGCTGTAAGAATTCCCTTTCCTACCCTACCATTCCCACACCTACCCAAGCTGGAAATTTAGACCTCTGTCCAGATTCCAAGGTTCAGAGACTGGTTCCGTGCTCTAAACAGACGGTCCTGAAGTAACACAGTGCGAGCTCCGAGGCCGAGTTCCGTGACCCAAGGTTCCTGGCCAAGTGTTCCGCGTTCGTTGTCGAGTCCGAGTTCCGCGCCTGAGTTCCGAAGGCCGAGTTCCGAGTTCGAGGTGCCGACTGAATGTGCTTAGTTCCTCTACGGGGCCGAGTTCCAAATCGAAGTTCTGCGGAACAGTAGCAGAGTCTGAATTCCCAGCTTCGTTTCCCGTCGTTAAATCCATAAACCATCCATACTTACATATCCATCCACACCCATTTGATACCACATCTTTTACTGCATATCTGGAGGTAAGTGGGATAGGTTTGGTAACTTTAGGTATAGGCGTTAGGTTCTTGTGGCAGTGAAGAGATTCGGGAGAGTTTGTTTTTTATGTCAAATGCCGCAAGATTCTAAACGTGTACACTGTGACAGGTCTGTTACGACTTCACATATTATTATTTCAACACTTCACTGCCGCAGGAACCTAGTTGCTTTCTCATATTTGGCGCTACCTTTTTAAAACTGATGGTTTAGGGAGGATTTCTTTTGGATAAGCCGTTGCATAGTTCGTTTGAGGGATTTGTTCCGCTTTTGTCTCAGCTGGAGAAGAAGCAGGCGTTTGCAAAAATACTCAAATTACTACTTTGGGTTCTATAAGACTGGTTTTAGAATCACGCTAACCGTCAGCGGTGACAACCGAACTGTATGAGCGTCGGCGCCGAGCGATCAGCGTCACTCAGGAACATTCCCTTCAATTACATACATTTGGATCTGTCAGCATCGATGATTAGCGAGCGGTCAGCGCGATTCTAAAATTTCATGTTTTTCAAACCGGCCTAAATTAATAGATAACATTTATTTATAGCAAAAAAGAAATCACTTGCTATAAGAATAGGACAGTTTTCATGATTTACGCTAGAACGTCCTAAGGTCTATTCTCGCGCGCGGGATTATGCCTGTGGATGCTTATGGCCCGATTTCCACCAAGGGGAGTGGAGAAGTGTTTTGAATAACAGAATCATTATTTCCACTTCTCCGCTCCGCGCAGCTGTCAAATATAACAGAAAAAATTTCACGGCCCAACACTTCTCCGCTCCGCTTTAGTGGAAACCGGGTCTGTTGGTTCTTATGTAACTGTCCAACGCTCGACGGACAGTAGCTTATTCCTTTGTCCCTTACTGGTGGACATCAGGGATCTCGGTGCAGTCCTGTTCAGTCCAGGAGGTCCTTGGGGAGATTTGAAATCCTGCCCTCCAGGTTTTCCGACCAGAGGGAACAACAGGACTGCACCAGGATCTCATACTCACTGAAGGGGCGGATGATGTCCTGGCTGAGCTTGTCGTGCACGTGGCGCGTGTGCGGCGCGCGCAGCGGGGCCGCGTCGGACAGCAGGCGGTCGGCCAGCGCGCCCGCCGTCTCGCATAGCTGCCAGCGCACGTTCGGATCCGGGCAGTTGTGTGCAGATTGCCTGTGTGTAAGTTAAGTCAATAATGGAGGAACTAGGAACTAGAGGGAGGTTATCTATGGCCACGCCTACCGTGACAGGAGATGACTGAAAAACACTAGGCAATTCAAATTCATTTATTTCACAAACATAAGTATCCTTCTCTCCTCGTAGTCTTCTTTTCTTCTCTCGCTTGTACCACGCCGCGTAGTCCTGCTACCAGGCACTAGATGGCACTGTACCATGCCACGTAGTCCTGCCTCCAGGCACTAGATGCCGCTGTATGACGCCGCGTAGTCCTGCCTCCAGGCACTAGATGGCGCTGTACCACGCCGCGTAGTCCTGCCTCCAGGCACTAGATGCCGCTGTAGCACGCCGCGTGGTCCTGCCTCCAGGCACTAGATGGCGCTGTACCACGCCGCGTAGTCCTGCCTCCAGGCACTAGATGCCGCTGTAGCACGCCGCGTGGTCCTGCC